TTACTTTATTGTAACTGTTCTTAATTTAACTTTATTATAACAGTATTTTATTTAACTTTATTATAACAGTACTTTAGTTGATATTATTAAAAGCATTTTGTTTAACTTTATTGTAACAGTACTTTATTTAACTTTATTATAACAGTATTTCTGTTGTAAAAGTACTTTTTTAATTTTATTATAACAGTATTTTAACTTTACTTTAACAGTACTTTATTTAACTTATTGTAACAGTATTTCAACTTTATTGTAACAGTACGTTATTTAACTTATTATAACAGTATTTTATTTAACATTATTATAACACTACTGTATTTAACTTCATTATAACACTATTTTATTTAACTTAATTACAACACTTTGTTATGAAACTTTACTTAGTATATTATTAGTATATTAGTATGTTATGTGACTTTATTGTTACAGTGTTAAACTTTTTTTTAATAAGCATATGTTATTTAACTTCATTATATATAATAAAGTTAAACATAGTTTTGTTTTTTAGGAGTCTACAGAAGTTTAGAGGAGCTTTCATAATATCGTGATATATATTATGAATCGGAATAAAGCCTAAAAAATCAATATTAACAGTAATAGCAGTATTATTTTTGAGCCATCTTGCCCAGCCCTAGTCCCAAAATGGATTATGGAGTCAAATGAAAGTGAGGAGGGAGACAAGAGGGTTGTTCTTAGTCTTAACTCTCACTCACCTTCCCCACTCTTCTTCCTCCTAATCCCTCTCCCCACTTCCCCATCCTCCTCTTTACGGAGTAACCTTTGGCAGAAGAGGTCAGCATTGTGTTCCAGCAGGATGACCTTTGGTAATGAGAAGGCAGGTTAGTGGGCGACCTGGAAGCGCTTTGTCCGCCTCTCCTGGGAACACAAACAGTGATGGTACTAAGGCACACAGGAACAGCTGCAAGGCTGCCGCCTGTGCTCCTGCTTGCCTGCGCCTGACGCCCATTTGTCATTTCACTGGAAAGCCAGAAATATAAACATAAGACAAATCTCCTTGACTGATTCTCCTCAGGTGTCAGGGCACTATAACTTTACAGAATCTGTAATCTCTGAGAAATGCTGCTGTCTGAAAATTGATTTAGGTGAGGAGCCTTAAAGGCAGCTTTACAAATAATTAATGTATTGATAACATCAGATGACACATTCCCTTGTTGTCCGATCTTTGAGGCCAATCTGCTGCCCAATTTCCAAAGACCCAGCCCTTTTGTGATCCTGGAAACACTGCTTCTACCAGCTTGCTTGTCTCTTTCTCTGGGTAAGATGTTTTACTCCTGGGGTGAGTGATCTACCCACAAAAGAATGAGCTGACAGGTGTGTATGTGGGTGGATGTGCACTTGCCTGTGAATGTGGGTATTCATCTGTGTTTTTCAGCCCTAACACTTTGGTCAAAGTATTCCAAAACCTGCAAAGGTAGGTTCAGTCAGGTGGCTTTTACAGTCTGTAATGGGATTAAAGCTGAGGGCTGACTTAATTTTAAAGTTCATTCATCCCTTTTAACCCCAACTACCTCATTCTCTGATCATTTAATTTGTTAAGTCCACATTACCATAGCCTGTTTTAGCCTTACTGTTGCCTTTTACCGCTCTCGATATGCGGCTGCTTTCATCACTGGCGATCTCCCATGTTGATATCCCTATGTCATCTGATATGGGCTCCTTTTTTTTTTCGTTGGCTCTTAAAAAAAAGACTGCTCCCATATGAGCTCCTGTGTGATTTTCAGAAGCAATTTACATATCTGGCATTAAATCGAACAGCTGAAAAAAGACAAGTGGTGAGTGGAGTGGGTAGATGTTTCTTGGCTGGCATCCATGAGGAACAAAGATTGCTAATCTGCTTGCACAGCCCATTCCTTTTTTCTTTTCACTGACTTTAGAGCACACGAGAAAAAGAGCATTCTTCAGTGCTCTTTAAACTATACACAGCATGTAAATTCATGACATATCATTGACCCACCAGTGGAAAATATCAGAGGGCCAGAGAGAGAACGAGTGTAAATGGCAAAGCGCCACAATAACTCTTGTCATTGATCCCCCATTGAACAAGCAAACTTTTCTCAAGGCTGCTTGAGTTTGAGTTGATCCCATCGCAGAGAGAGAGAGTGCTCTGGCTTTTCACGCTTTTCATTTTCTACTTGAAAGCGGCTCAGTTATGAGGCTACTTTGATCCCTTACAATTAGGAGAGACTTCCACTGGTGCATAATGAGATTGTAAGCCCTTTGGAATCCTATAGACAGTCATTTCTCAAAAGTACAACAGAAAATAATCTTTGAAAATAATAAAAGAGCAGGGATTAGAGACAGTGAGTGTCTTTGCATGAATGTATTTATTACTGCTGCTCATTATTCAGACTAAACAAACAAGTGATGAGTGACAAGCTTTCATCCATGTTGAGTCTGCTGAGGTCATTGGAAAATATAATTTCATGACTGACTGAAAGTGTGTCCATGTATGACTGCTTCATGCCATTACATTGTTGCTACTTGTTATGAATAAATAGTTAGGAAATAGCCTGTCTATGAATGACAGTAACACAGAAGCACAACACAACGCTGACTGACCTGGAGCCAGAGGCACAGAAATAAACTAGACTTCACTGCTGTCTTGTCTGTCTGGAGATGGCTCTCACTTGGAGGAAATGAGTCTACGATACAGAGGCATTGCTCAAATTCCTCCCCTTGTGTCATCGCCGCTAAAGCAAATAGCGGCTTAGGGGAAAGGATTCTGTGACTGAATCAACAGATTGTTTGTGTCTTCACAGGCTCAAAGGAACTTTTTTAGAATTGCAGAAAGGTAGGAATTTGGGGAAAAGTTCCTTTTAGCCTGACCCTGTTATTGTGAAACCAATGACTTGAACCTTTTTTATCAGCCCCCTTCCCTGGAACAGTGCTACTTTCAAAGCTTAGTGTCTCTGGGTTTTGAAGGGAGCTCTGTATTGGGAGGCAGAACTCTGGAATTGAATCCCCAGAGTTTGATTGACTCTTTTGGATATGAGAGTAGACTGTGACTCGAGCCATTGGATTAATTGGTGCACACATGCTTGGCCTGGGCCTACCAGTAACCTGGGGTAGATGGGAATTGTCTGTGAGGTAGTTGTATGTGAATTAATTAGGGTCAATCTGGGTCTTCCTTGGACTAAATCAGTATGGAGGCCTGGGCCTTTCCACTCCAATACACAGCTGTCACGTGTTAGTAGTGAGCAACACTAAAGAAGTTGCAAGTATAATGACAAAGGGAAGATATTAGCTCTAATATTTTTTTCTGAAGTGTATAAGCAAGTTTTTTATGCCTCCACACCAGCAATAGCCATGGCCACATTCATTATGTTTTCAGGTTGTCCATCCATCCGTACACACGCAATACACACGCAATACGTCCCATTCTTGTGAATGTGATATCTCAATATGCCATTTCTTCAAATTTGGCACAAACTTTCACTTGGACTTAAGGATGAACTGATTAGATTTTGGTGGCCATAGGCCAAAGTTCAAGGTTACTGTGACTTTGTCTATCTCATTCTTGTAAACACGATATCTCAAGAATGGCATGAAGGATTTTCTTCAAATTTGGCACAAACGTTCACTTTGACTCAGTGATGACGTAGTTAGATTTTGGTGGTCAAGGGTCAAAGGTCAAGGTCAGCGTGACTTATCTCAATCTCATGAAAGCAATATATCAGGAACAGCTTGAGGGAATTTCTTCAAATTATTTGCTTTATTCTAGAAACTGAGAAGTTCTGTTTGTTTGTTTTTTTTAACATAATTGGGTGATTTCTAGGGCAATGCACGCAAACCTGGCAATCTGTTGCAGACCAGCAGAGGCCAGTGCACGAGACACGGGCTAGTCCAGAAAGGATGAAATTTGGATGACAGTAATGAGTATTACTCAAACACTGAGGGAGTGTTTTCTTTGCTATAAGAATCTATTTTTCCTGTAAACACACACACACACACACACACACACACACACACAGTTCTTCCTCCCGTGGCTCTTAGTAGCATTTGTAAATGATTTTATTCTTCTACTTAAAATAATTTAGTTGTCTGTAGTTGGTTCCTCTGACCTGAGGTCGTAACTCTAAGTTGGCTAAAAGTCCCTCCTCTCCTCATCTGTCCATATTTAAACTCCCTCTGCGTCTGCCACTCTCTTTATCTTCTCCCTATCAACGCACACCTTGATAATTGGTGATGTGGACCATATGTTGGGTTTGAATGGCCTTCCGTTTAATAGAGCTGTGTGACATACTCAAGGACATATCATAACCTTGTTATTAGGCTACCTGTACCTTCCTGGACTGGCGTCATGGCAGGGGCATATACTCTCCTAGAGGCATACAGGTCCTGGAGGGAGGGCAGATTGCAGCCAATCACCTTCTCAGCAGAGCAAATGATATGCTGCAGTCTGCTTTTGTCCTTGGCAGTGGCAGCAGCATACCAGATGGTGATGGAGGAGGTGAGGATGGACTCAATGATGGCAGTGTAGAAGTGCACCATCATTGTCTTTGACAGGTTGAAGTTCTTCAGCTGCCGCAGGAAGTGCATCCTCTGATGTGGTTTCTTTATAAAGCTTGCAGGTTTAGTACGTGTGTGTTTGTGTCTGGGTTTTTTTGTATGTGCAGCCACTGGGCTCTGCGGTCCCTAGGAGCTCCTTGTGATTCTCAGTCATTCTCCTCCCTTCTCTGCCAATTAAAATGATTTCTCTTCCATCACTTGTTTTGCAGAGGCTAGTCTCTGTAGCTGGAGCTTCAAACTGTTTCCAAAGGATTTTCATGGAATATTAGCAATATTTTTTTTCCCATTTAAAGTACAAATGCGCCCATTGTAGAAGTCATGCTTTCTTTATTCTTGCTAGAGTGCTGCTGATCTTTTACTCCAGTGGAATTCATTTTTTTGAAAGCCCAGTCTTGGTCCTAATTGTGATTTAAGTGTATCCTGAAAAGAAAAAGAGCAGTGACAGATGAATTTTATCTTTGTGTCTCTTACAGATTTACTGTCTCTGTGAGGAGTTTGACAGTCTGAACGCATGAATAGATTTGGAGCATGGTTCTTTTTCATCCAACAGGTAAAACATGTGACACTGTGTCTTGTCTCTTCACATCATACTGTATCTTTTCCTCTTTAAACAATACCTTTGTTCATATAAACCACATCAGGCAAAAAGTCGTTAGGAAATTCCGACTTCCTGTTGTGATCAGTTTAAGCTGTGTTTCTTCTTTTTGTGAGTGCAGTTAAGGGAATGGTACAGGTCTCAAACATGGATGTATAAAGAGACCTGGATACAGCATTAGAGGTGGGCCCCCGTTCACTCCTATTAAAGTTGCTCAGTGGCACATGAAGTTAAAAAAGCTTTATTTCAAAAAGTTTCACATAGTGGCACTTTGGGCCACTATGTGAAATTGGGTTCAAAGCCCTGCACTGTTCCTGGGGGCTTGGTCTTAAAGGCTTGACATTAGTACCTGTCCATCTGCCAAATGCAGGTAGAATTTGGCAGTGGTGTGTCTGTAACACAGTCACTCTTGTTAGCCAGTTTGGTAGATGTCATTTATATGCACACAGCTGTACGGTACGTAGATTAATGCATGTGATGCAGAACTAAAATTCATAAGTGCCAGTTTCACAAGTTGTGTCTTCGTCGGTTTCTTACACACAACCTTATAAGAGCTGAATATTTCAACATTATACATTTGATGCAGTCTTGATTTACGTGTTTACATTGGTAATTTACATTTAACAGGACTGTAAATCTACTTTAAATAGATTGTAGCACACCATAGTCAACTTTAATCAAATAAAACATAATTTCCCAACAATACAATTGAGGTAGTGAAAAATTCTGAGTGGCTCGTAACTTTAGAAAACCACTAGCCACAGTGGCTGTTGATATAATGTTAAGCTCTTCTACCTCTTCTACAAAATATTTCAGTGCACTTGCCGGTTAATTTTTTATACATGTGAAAGTGTTGTTGATGAATGACAGATTGTGCTGGAGCAGTGTGTAACTCACCACTCAAAATATGACACAAGGCATTATAGTGAACTGCTTTTTGTGACCCATCCTTGGACCTCAGTATTAGATAACACAAAAAAGGTGTAAACAGTGCCTCTAATTTGTTAAATTTTTAAAGTTACTGTTACCCCTTTTCCTCCAAATTAGATCTGGTTCTTGAACCAGTTCCATTCAGAATTCTTGGAACCTTGGTGCTGTTAATCAGGCTATGTTTCCACCAGTTTTGATCAGGACCATTGTAATTAAGGATGCGTCATCAACAGAGGGTGTTACACAATGCACAGTGTGAGTAAACAGTAGTGGCAAGGTGGCAAGTTGCATTAATCTCCTGTGAGCTCTTGCCCTGTTATTACAGATTACATTTGTTTTTTATCCAAGAACCAAACATGGACCAACTAATAATGATAACAAGATGTGGATGAGTATTACGTGCAAGACTCCATGCTCTCTTTCCAACCTGCACACCCACTGATGTCATCAGGTTCACACTTTGGGTCAAGCAAAACCTGCTATTTTTTGGTTCCAGCTGGGAACCAACTTTCCAGGTTCTCACCAATTTATTTGTCAGTGGAAATGCTATGAATAGTTCAAAATTAGGTGAGGGAACTGGAATGGAACCCGTTACATGTTGGTGGAAAAGGGGTATATGAGATTTTTTTCCCCGAGAGCAGGAAGCTCATTAGATCCTTATTTTAGTATTGTCATCTAAAGAAAGCATTTATTGCAAAGCCAACATAAACTGTCCCTCCCCTTGCCTCAGTACTGTATGGATCAACTTAACAGAGAAGTCAGTGTCCCTTAATCAGTGTCCCTTGATCACAAGCAGCCTAATAAAGAAAACATGTGAGAGTTAGGAACAGAGTAGTAAAGCGGCTGTTCCTGGTCCTCTTCCTTTCCCTCGTGCCTCTGTCTGGCGAGTCCAGACAGGCCTCCGGTAAAAGGTGAGGATGTTTGTTCTTCACCTTGGTACAACTGGGTCAGTGAGCGATCTAAAGGTGTTTACCCATGGCTCACAGCTCACAGTGCCCTCACAGACCTTTAACATGGATTCTTATTCCAGGAAGAAGTAGCTTTTATCAGGAAAACATACATCTCTCAACCACATTTAATAATGACGTGTTTTGAATGCTTTAACACCCGCTCAGATGTGTGAATTAAGGGTTGTTTTACTCTCAAAACATGCTTGTTGGATTATTTGTGGTTATAGCGTTGTGTGATGGTGTATGACTGTTAACAAATTATTCCCACCAAGAAAAACAGTATCAACAGTTCAGGTTGAACTGTGTCCCTCTACCTCTTCCAGCACATGACTTCATGTTGAAGTATGAATCTAAACTCAGACAGCAGTGCAGCCTTACATGCACAGGTAATCAACAGCACAAACACGCACGCACGCACACACACACACACACACACACACACACACACACACACGCACACACACACACACACAAAGTAACATTTCTCTCTCACACTCACTCAATCTGTCTTTCTGGTTGGCTGTGTGCTGACCTGCTGAAAGCCTTTCAGGGTCATGTCAGTCAGCCAACAACTCTCTCCTCTCAGAGGCTCAGCAGGTTCAAGTAGGACGCCAGTCTGTCCTCCCTCCTCATTCCTTCACATTGGCTGCCTTGTCATGTTAAGATGTAGGGAACACTCATCAGTGTGTTTGCAGCTATGAAAAGAATAGATGTATTCAGAGTATTGGAATATGTTTGTGGGTTTATTCCTGTTCGTATACCTTGTCGTGCGTTCATACATGCATATGTATAAAGGCCTGACTGCGTAATGTGTGCGTGCCTGAATTCATTTATTATAGTGTGTGATCATTGTGTGTGTGTGTGTGTGTGTGTGTATAATCATGGGTGAATTTGGAGAACAACTAAAGGAGCAGCTGTGGCTGCTTTGTACCATGGACAACGTCTGTTATTGATTCTGCTGGACTGGAGGCTTCAGCGCTGCCCAGCCTGCCTGCCTGCCTGCCTGCAGCTGCTCGGACTCTCCCTTTAATAGACTTCGCAGCCTTTGAACAGCTTTTTAGAGCCCTAAAGGAAGTAAACACTGACCTTAGTCCAGGGCTAACGCTGTATAAGCCAGGTCATAAAGTGGAAATCTGCAAATAATAATGGTTAATTGTTTAATTTTTTGCTGCTGAGGTGCTCAGCAGAATTTGGCTGTTTCGACTCTCAGTGTATTTTAAATAACTTTTCTCCACATCTGTTTTCTCTTTTTAGTGTCATCATTTCGTACAGGAAATTGTGGTCATAATCAAGTAGACCAAAATTACAGTGAATAACGTAGTGGCAGCTCCATGAGGGGAAGTAATTTGAGGCAGTTGGTTAAAGAACTAAAAATAAATGTGATCAACAAATTATATGGATATTAGTAAATATTAGTGGCATTAACTTAACTCAATGGAATGTAAAATGCCCCTCATGAGTCGCAGAGACTCAGTGAGCTGGTTGGGTCCTACAGTATGCGCACCAAATGACGTCACCAGCATAAGATAGCGCCAACCATATCCTGGATATTTTGGCCTCAGTTCTGTATAGTGGGAAGAAGTGGAGATGTCAATTCAATCACTCAATCAATTTTATTTATAAAGCCCAGTATCACAAATCACAATTTGCCTCACTGGACTTTACAGCATAAGACATCCCTCTGTCCTTTGGACCCTAACAGCGGATAAGGAAAAACGCCCCAAAAAAACCCTTTAACAGGGAAAAAAAATGGTAGAAACCTCAGGAAGAGCAACTGAGGAGGGATCCCTCCTCCAGGACAGACAGACGTGCAATAGATGTCGTACAGAACAGATCAACATGATAAATTAACAGTAATCCGCATGACACAATGACACAGAAAGAGAGGGACAGAGAGATTATTAATTACGGCTATTGTGGTACAATATGTTGAAAGTATATATTAATATATGATAGTATACATATGTGACAATAATTATATGTGTATAATAACAGTAGAAGTATGACTAATGATAACAGCAGCAGAAGGCATAAGGCAGGACCACGGCAGCATGTGTCGTCCATCTTTATATACAGTCTGTAGTCTGCAGCTAATCTCACATACTACTGGACCAATCTGCCTAATATTTTGTGTGCACATTTATGAATATATGCTCAAGAACCTCTTGTGGTTGTGGTGATTCATAATTTTTGAAAAACCTTTTTTATTGACTGTTTTATACAGTCAGTATTCTTAATTCATGACTGCTGACTCCTCACTCCTCTTAACTACCCGGTAGAGGCTGCAAGTCATCAACAAGCTCACATAGAATAAAAACATAGAGAAAAGGGCATTTCCGGCCATCTGCTTGGCTAAACAACAAGCCTTAGCTAGTATGTTGCAGGCTACATTTTGGCTCTTGTCATGGTTCAAAAAGTGACATCCATAGAAAAGTTTGTTTTCATTTTGAGCATCCGCAGATAAATTCTATACCCAATATATTATGATCTACCAAAGTTAGGCTCAATACGAAATACGAAAGAAAAAAAAACATGTCATCTTTGCTGCCATCTAGACTGTAAAGGAGCCTGGAGGGACAATTCCACTTGGTGTAGCCACACAGCATGTATTTCCTATCGTGGACACAACAAGCTTGGGTAGCCATCTGGCAGAGATTTAGACTCTACTGATTGGACTTATCTTGTTGCTATTGTTGTAGTTTTTTATATCAGTGCTATGCGTTGGCTACAGCACATTGCTGTAAGGTGTCAAGTCTTGGATTAGGTTTAATTTTAACTTCAGAAGTTTTAAGGGGCCCTTATTCAACCAGTCTTTCATGCTATTGAATCAGACCTACGGTATTAGAATTAAACTTTGAGTCTTGCTGGTTATAGATTATCTTTAACTAAGGCGGCATTCAGACAGTGTGCAGTATTTTGGCATCTGATAGGCCTTAAAACTGAGGGATCTCTTACTTTGGATTTACAGATCCAGTACATAATGTATCTCTGGTATTTGAAGCAACCTGTTCCCCACCAAACACAGCCCTCCACAGAATTTTTTTTGTCTAAATGCCTGCTGATTTTAACTAGAGC